AAATGTTTTACACATTTTTTGAATTCTGAATCAAGGTTCATAAAATACTCATTTTTAAATCACAAAAGTCAAAGGCCGGTGAACATTTTCCACTATTTCTTTTTACTTTACCTGTGCTTCTTTTCTTTTGTATACCTTCCTTCATACTTAAGAGAAATCTACATTTGGGTGATCCTTCTCTACATCTAGGTATCTTTTGAATATCTTTCTTATTTTCCAATTCTCCCTCTCTCTCTCTCCCTCTCTCTCTCTCTCTCTCTCTCTCTCTCTCTCTCTCTCTCTCTCTCTCTCACACACACACACACACACACACACCAAAAAAGTCCTAACACTCAGGAAGCTACAGTATGCAAATACTGCTCTAAAGCTGTTTAGTTATGTGAGAAACACATTCTTAAAATTGACTCAAAAATGTTGTTATGGAAAAAATTACAGAGAAAATAGATCCTTCCAGCTGCTATGGCCAAATAAATGCAATGGCCAATAAATTGAAAGTTCTATAAAGACTTAAATTCAATTAAAGGGTTTTCCGACTATCATCCAAGAGTTTACTCCATTTCCGGGAGCGAGATTACTAGTGAATTTAATATGGAATGCATTTATACATGAAAACTGTTTCTATTATTGGAGATCATCAAATGGCAAAGCGCAAATTAATTAAAGTGAACCAGATATACGCTTACAATAAGAGAACTCAGTCTAGTGAAATTAAAAGTGAGGTTTTTCCTGTTGGGCTCCATTATAATGCAGTATACAATGCTTTTGAAATAAAGCTTCAAATTATCTCTGTGTAAATCCTAGTGAAATCAATGGAGCTAACTTTCTCAATTGAGAAGGAAAGTAATAAAAAGTTTGTTAATTTCAGTGATATTTCAGGATAGTTATTGGAGGGGCGGGTGGGGGGGAGAGAAGTAGGACACCCTAATTCTATGCAAATTTCTCTTATTAATACTAGGTAAAATTTTGTGGCACTTAACTATCATTTTTAATCTGGTATTCATATTGTGCATTCTGTTAAATCTTGACATCCTATTCATTCATGTAGCATGAAAGCTCATTCCAAAGACACCACTAACCCTGCATGAGTTGAGGATAGGAGTGGGAGGTCAGCCCTGGTCTTTTTGTTCTAGGATTGTAAAACTCCTACTGTCTAATTTTTGCTACCAATACCTTAATGTATGAGAAAGACTGGGAGGACAAAATCTCCTCGGATCCTCAGTTCTTCCTATTTTCTGACTTCAGGGACAAGGAACCACTGTGCTACTTCAGCTATTCCTGGATAAATATAATCCTTTAAATTTTTAGCTAATGTAGAGGACAGGACAGGACAGAAAATAGTCAAACACTTTTTGTTCCATGGGGGCCTCGATGTTCTCTGAGCTGCGTTCTCTACTTGCAGATATTTCATTACCTGACCATCATCCCTTTTTGTTCCAGGTAATTTACTTTTATCTATAGATTTTCTCCAAGGGATAGATTAGGATATGGTTATGAAATAATTGCTGCCAATTGTGCTGTGACCACTTTTCCTTTCCTTTCCTTTTTCTTTTCCTTTCCTTTCCTTTCCTTTTTCCTTTCCTTTCTCTTTACCGTTTCCTTTCCTTTTCTTTTCCTTTCCTTTCCTTTTTTTCTTTTTTCTTTTCTTTTCCTTTTTCTTTTCTTTTCCTTTTTCCTTTCCTTTCCTTTCCTTTTCTTTTCCTTTCCTTTTCCCTTTGCTTTCCTTTTTCTTTTCCTTTCTTTCCTTTTCCTTTCCTTTTCCCTTTCCTTTTCCTTTCTTTTTTCTTTACCGGTTTCCTTTCCTTTTTCCTTTCCTTTCTTTTTTCCTTCCTTCCCTTTCCTTATATACACATGGGGGAGGGGGCTGGAAAATAAGGCGCAGTCCTCACTATCCCGGGACACAGGATTCATCCAACTTTTTGTTGTGATGCCAGAAAATCATACTCATCAGCAGGAAGCAATTCTCTTTCATCTTAGAAATAACGCTTTAGGCCACATATTAAGAAGGAGGATTCCTGATGGGTCCTGATAGCAGCAAATAAATTTTACCAAATGAAAGATTCCAGCTTAGAGAAAAATCCCTAACGGGGGGGGGAGCAAGTTAAACTGGAGTACGTATTTATATTTTCTGCGAAATTAATATCCATAATGAAAGAATCCAACAACACCTATACAAATATCTGTATTGACCCTCCAAGCGCACAGATTCAGTGCCAAGCAACAGCGAGAGAGGGAAGTCTTGTGTTCCAGTTCTCATCCGTGCCCTTTTATCCACCATGATTAGAACAATTTAGAAGCCAGGCCAGTTGCTCCTTTGTGAGAACTTCACTCAGGAAATCAGAGAGGACTTCGAGCAGATTTTGACCGGTCCAGTCAAGTGGGATAAAAGGGAGCAAGGCCCTGGTGATAATCTTGCCCCAGGCTCATGACCCGTCTTTCCTCTCACTTTTAGCTGGGTAGTTTTCAATGCAGTCATTTAACTACAGTTTAAGATATACCTTTGCTCAATTATTTATTTACTGGTTTCTAATCTCATTATGCACATTATTAAGTTGAAATTTGGGACACTTTTCCAACAGTGATGATCTCAAAATCTAATATCCCCAGGAGGATCTTCCTTTTCTTTGAAACCACTTGGAAACATTGGGGGTGCTATTAGGAAAGAAAGAAAGAAAGAAAGAAAGAAAGAAAGAAAGAAAGAAAGAAAGAAAGAAGGAAGGAAGGAAGGAAGGAAGGAAGGAAGGAAGGAAGGAAGGAAGGAAGGAAGGAAGGAAGGAAGGATATAACCATCTACATGCCTACATTTGGCTGTCTGCATACGTGTTTTTACAGGCACACATATTAAGTGTGAAAGTAACCTAGAAGTGGTTTTTCCAAGGGAGGGGCAGGAGAGAGGAAAGAAGCCTCTTTTCGGGGCTGCTGATGCGTCAACCAGGCTGCAGGGGCTTTTAGGGCTGCTGCTCCTCTTCTGCCATTAGCCGGACCCCGCAGCTTTCAACTTGACCTTGGCCTCTAGTCAAGTTTAACCAGTATCTAGAGAAACGTTGAATCTTCAGTCTGCGCGAAGGGGGTGAAGGGGACTAGGGGTTCGTGTTCTGTGCAGGATAGTTGCCTTCAATCCCGGCTGGTTTGCAATGGAAGGAACGCGGTTCCCCAGTTGGTCAGGGACAGTGAAAGCTTTCCTCTCTCTGGAAAGATGCCGAAGCTCTTATTTTTCCAAGGCTCAAGACTTTTGAGAAGGGAAGGAAGGGAAGCGGGCGGGCGGGCGGGCGGGCGGGCGGGGGGGGGATTTTGAAAATATGCTAGAAATAAATATTTGCCTTTGGCCATGAGAAAGAATGCGGAAAAAGATAATCCAGGAGAGGTTGGGACTGGAGGGGAAAGAGCCCTTTATGGCTACAATTAAAAGAATTCGCTGAAATATTGTTCAGGGACAAACTCTCTGGATTGCATACCATTCTCAGCAAAGGGCTGGCGAGACTGGGGGGCCCCGGAGAACTGACAGATCAGTTCCTTCCTTACAGACCAGGAGGGGAAAAACCCCGCTGAACAATGCAGAGTTTAAAATGCCAGCCAGAGAAAATAAGTGTGGTGACTCCCACAGTTAGCATAGCCATTCCTTAGTATGACCAAAAGTGCATCAAAAATTAAAGCAACTCCCCAATAATAAACAAAATACCACCACGAAGCCTTTCCCCTTCTTTAAAGAGTAGTGAACGGGCAAATTTCTGACAGATCTCATTCAGTCACCTTTAATTTACTTGTTTACAAGGAATGTGTATCCTCAATAGCTCTCTGTATACAGTACACATTTCCTTGTATAATTTCTTCAAATACAGGCACACCTTCACGGACAACAGGGTTTTAAAAATAGAAAAACAGTGTTAAGGTTGCAGCTTCAGCAGCATTTTCTTGGTTTGTATTAATTTTTTTCACTGAATATGTTTAGATTAACATTAGTGGTGGTGGTGGTGGTAGCAGCAATATTAATTCTGCTACTATTAGGGAACCTCGGTAGACACTCAAAGGCAATAAATTTCCCCAGTTGTTAGTTTTGTTTTTGTTTTTATAGTAGAAGATGATTCAAGCAAAAATTACAGGCTTTACGTTTTACTGTTGTAGGGACGAGTTAGGTTACTGCGGTTGATTCATTTCTGAGGTCTGTTTTAACCCCTTGTTTTCTGAACTCTGACAAAGCCAATTTACAACCTGCACTCCTAATGATTTTCTCTGGAGAGGGGTAACATATTGATGTAAAAGAGAATGGTAACATTCTCTATAATTTTTGGAAAGTAAATCAGACCTGCAGAAGAAAGTGTGTGCCATTAAGCTTTTGCCAAAGCATTGCCATGTCCTTGTGGTCTGAAAGTAGTTATTTCTTTCTTTTTAAAATGTAGTTCTGGTGAATGTAACTGCAATCAGGACAAAGCTAGATGCTTCTGCAGTTCCGGTAGGTAAGAAGATATCAATTTGTCGAGTGAATCGGGGTGGGCGGAATGGAGGATCTAAACAAAACAAAACATCCCCTTCCGCCAAAAAAAAAAAAAAAAAAAATCTACCATCAAGTATATCAGCAAGGACGAGATAGCGAAAGTTTGACATCAGGACCGCGGATCTCCTGCTGAAAAAAATGCCCCATAAGCAATGTCCTGAAGAGAGGGGAGAGGGAGGGGGGAGGGGACAGGCATACTTTGGAGGGGGGGAGAGAAATACCTGTTCTTAAGCACCCCCGTTCGTGCCTCTCTTGACCCACAGAGTCTTGAGTGGAAGGGGCAGCCGCGTGCCAGTGCCGTCCGCGTGCAGGAATTCCAGCCCCAGCGCGATTAGAACATTATTGAATTATCTGCACTTTATTCCTCTGATGTTTATCATCTGCTTTGCATATCACGTGAGGGATGTTGAGCCAATGGGAGCCAGCCTGGCACGACACTGGCGCGTCAGCCCTGGTCAACTCTGAGAGATTGAATATCTCTTTTTTCAGTCTTTGGGGCTTTTAAAAAAGAGCCACTGGTCTCAATGCGGATCGGGCTATGACAGCCTCCGTGCTCCTCCATCCTCGCTGGATCGAGCCGGTCATGTTTCTCTACGACAACAGCCTGGAAGAGATCAACAAGAACATGGAAGCGGGGTTCCACGCGGCGGCCGCGGCCGCGGCTGCAGGCACCAACTTCGTGGCGGCCAACCAGTGCCGGAATCTGATGGCTCACCCAGCCTCGCTGGCCGGTCCGGGCAGCGCCGCCGCATATCCGTCGAGTGAAGCGCCCAGCGCCGCCGGAATGGCCGAGACCGGGGCAGCTGTCAAGCAGTGCAGTCCTTGCTCGGCCGCCGTGCAGGGCTCATCAGGCCCCGCCGCCCTGCCCTACAGCTACTTCAGCAGCGGCTATTTCCCCTGCAGCGTCAACCACCACCACCACCACAACGCCTCGCTCAAGTCCTGCGCCCAGCCAGCCTCCTCCTCCTCCTCCTCCTTCGCCGACAAGTACATGGAGACGTCGGTGGCGGCTTCCAGCGAAGATTTCCCCTCGCGCGCCAAGGAGTTCGCCTTTTACCAGGGCTACGCCGCCGGACCTTACCAACCCATGCCGGCGGGCTACCTGGATATGCCGGTGGTGCCCGCGCTCGGCGGCCGCGGCGAGCCCAGGCACGATTCCATGCTGCCCGTGGAAGGCTACCAGCCCTGGGCCATCCCTAACGGCTGGAACGGGCAGGTCTATTGCCCCAAGGAGCAGAGCCAACCGCCCCACCTGTGGAAATCCGCTCTGCCGGGTAAAGCACCTGCGCGGCCCTTCCCTTCCCGCGGAGTATGCGTGCAGCACCCGAAGTAGCTCTGCAGCCCAAATGTCAAAGGGCGGCCGCTGCTTCGGGGTCTCCTCGCTCCCCGTCCCCGAATCGCCTGCCGTTCCCTTCGTTCTGAGTCCACGAGGGAAATGGAGTCCCTTCTGCCCTCCTGCGCTTTCTGCCCGGTCAGATAAGGTCGGGAGAAGACTAGAGGCTTCGAGGCCCTTGGCGAGTCTGGTGGGTCTGGGGTCTTCCCCAAGTTGTCTGGATTCTGAGTTGTGAGTCTCGGGGGTCACCACACGTTCCCACTCCCCCCCCCGTGCCCCAGCTTTTTCCCAGATAAGGCTTTCTTCTCTCAGGTACGGATGCCAAGAGGTCTGAACCAGAGGGTTCAGTGGAAAATCAGGCATTTTGAGGATGCAAATAACTTTCATAGCAAGGAGATTCTTGTTCCCATTTTCATCCAATTTTCAAAAGCATTTTTTTTAAATGTTTTGAGCCCATGTCATCAGGTTAATAATAATAATCAGCACAGCAGTAGTAGCAGTCCTCTTAGGTAAACTCCCAATTTCTTATTAAATCATGACTCTCAGAAATAATATGATTACTTTGATTATTTCACATAGTTTCTGCCTTCTGCAGATGGGTGCTCTAACAGCCCTCTTAAATTAGAGTTTCCATTACTTTTGTCTAATGGTGTGCTTTATTTTCCTTTCCAGTTTACCACCTTCTCATTAACAATCTGGGCATTTGGATTTATTTATATTGTTTAAGCCATTTATAGAGCTACCCATCTCATAACAGTGACTCTTTGAGTTGTACTGTCATCAGGATGCTGGTCTCCATTCTTGCTGTCCTGACTACCCCTCAAGAAAGATATTGAGGCCTCCCTCCCCCCTTTTATTCTGACATCAAAAAGTAGCTATCAGTTCTGATGGATCCACTGCTAGATTATGTGGATCAGCCCCTCCCAGACTCCCATTGCATTTTGCAGCTGTACTGAAGCTAGACGCCAGTTGTCTTCATTGTGAGAATAAATGCAAGGATAGTGTATTGGTTTTCTTTGTATGTGCCCTAACAGAGAATAGGCAAGGAACAAAGAGACTGTTGAGCACAAAAAGTTAGTTGAAAAATACTTTTTGATTCACAAGGGTCTCAGTTGCCATCTTGTCGGTTATGGCAACTGCATATGATTTTCCTTATGTTATAAGCCAAGAGGTTTACAAGCAGTGTTACTAGTCCTAGAGAAGAAATTCCTTACCTGGAGAATTTGTGCAAATGTTGATTTGCTTAATCCAGCCACCTTACAAAAGGATGGTCTGTTGATCCACAGAACTGATATTTACAATGTTTTTAAGGATTGTGAATAACAATAGCACCTGCCTTCCTGTTTTTGGTTTTCTGTTATAGATGTGGTTTCACATCCTTCCGATGCCAGCTCCTACAGGCGTGGAAGGAAGAAACGAGTGCCTTATACAAAAGTTCAGTTAAAAGAACTGGAGAGGGAATATGCTACAAATAAATTCATTACCAAGGACAAGAGAAGAAGGATATCGGCTGCTACAAATCTCTCAGAGAGGCAGGTCACAATTTGGTTCCAAAATAGAAGAGTGAAAGAAAAAAAAGTCATCAACAAATTGAAGACAAGTAGTTAATGGATTTAATAGAAATGTAGCTGCTTCCCGAGGCCTCAAAATTCAATTTTTCCCGCCTGGCCCAATTTAAAATACTAATGAAAAATACAAAATAATGAACTTTTTCTTTATTAAAAAAAACCCTTTCTGTCTTTGGATAGATGGCTTTTGAACAAGTATGGTTATTAGACGCCTTTTAAGACGCTCTCCTGAAAATCCAAAAGGCACCACTGCAGGGACTGATTTATAAAATCCAGATGGACCAGGGATATTGCAGTTCAATTTTTAAAAGATAACATATTGTTGAAAACAGTGTAAGTATTATTTGTGACTATTTTAGAATGCTTTTGGATTATAATTGGGAAAATTTGTTTTTAAAAAATATACACACACAAACATACAAGTATTCCATTGGTTATATTATGATCCCAAGAAACACGTCAAATAGTAAATTTGGTGCAGTAAAGAATGTACAGTTGCTGTTCATTTAAGCAATATATCTTTTTTTTTCTTTTAAAGGAAGGTACTGAGTAAAGATTTTGGCAGACAGCAATGAAACAAATTTTATGTAGGATTAATCTTGAGTTAAAAGCAAGATAAACTGCTAGAATTTTGGGGGGGAAGCTGTTAGCATATTTTTCAGTAGCTCATTTCAGCATGCATAAATTCAGTGAAGAAATGGGATTTTCTCTAGTTTTGTAAAGAAACTTTATACATTTCAAGGTCAATGACTAATTATCAAGTGATAATTAATTACATTAATTAAATATCAAATACCATACATTATTCTTTTAAAATATGTGACACAGATAAAAACTGGCAGCACAGCCCTATTATTTCAATGAAAAAGTTGTTTTTTAGAAGACAATTATCTCTAAGAAACCCAGAGTGAAAATTATGTCTTTCCCACAAGTGTTTTGATTTCTATGTCTATATTTTGATCTATAAGTAAATAGTTTTCTATCTTTGTTTTACAGTTATAAGGCTGCATTAGAAATACGAAATCATTTTACATCCCTCCCCCCAATAAATCAATTATTTCAACCAGCACATTCTATGCTTTTCCTTGCTCACTAGATGACACAGTACTATCCTGTAAATAATAATAATAATAAAAAATTCACTTTGAAAATGTATTTCTGCACCCCTATTTTTTATATTTTTACTGAAAATTAAAATCTAAAATCTATAGATAGATACTAGCAATATGCCTGTTAATAAAATAGTCACTATAATAAAAGACTGATTAAATCCTTATTTATTTCTTCCATTGCTATGTAAGTCTTGTGAAAACTGGGATTTCTGGTAGATGTTTTTTAAATCTAGTACTTTTTTAAAAAACGCTACATTGCCTTACCAGAGCACAAATACAAGAATATTAAACTGTCAGAAATATAAAAACATGGTTAATAGTTAAGACTGAAAATGTAAGGTCTGCTTATATTTATGGTCTATTAACCAAATGGACTAAATGTTGGAGCGGTTGCAGGTGGATTTTAGTACTGGTGAAATGAAATGAGTAGAAACCTTGACCTTGATGGGGTGGGGGAGGGAGGAGACAGGCAATTTGTGACCTTGACTTCTGACAGCTCATGACTAGTCTTCTTCTGGATTAGTAGATCAAGGGCGCCCCCTCGTGTCCCTCCTTCAGGTCTGTTGGCATTAGAAGTTCTATTCAAGATCCTAGAAAAATCAAGCAAGGAGGATCATCTGTCAGGTTTCTCTTCAACACTATTGCAAGGTTTCTCTTGGTCAGGCTCTCATCAATTGACTTGATTTGGATGATAGCTTGCTGTGTTCTGGTCCCTGGCTCATTGCCCTTTCTGCTACTCTAGAATTTGGAAGGCGAGAACCAGGGAATGTCTGGTAGGGTGTGGGCCCTGTGAAAATGTCTCTGCAATACCCTGGGGACAACTTTAAAGGCACAGAAATAGGAAAGTGTGTGCTAACAGCAAAATATCACAAGCTACTTCAAGTAGTGATTTGCTTAGATGATATCAAGACAGCTGTCTCTCTATACATATGTATTGCATCCCTAGGATGGTTTCATAATGTCATTCACGCCCAAGGTGTCATAAAATCATTACTCACAGTCATCTTCAAAGCAGAATCAAAGCTGTACAATATGCTGAGTGAGATAATTTGAGAAAAGGAGGAAGGATTATAGGAACTTATTAAATATCTACGTATCATAGAGAGACTTGTTTATAATAGCTTATGACGCAAGAAAAATGCTAAAATCTTTCTCTGGTTAGCACTTTCTGTCTCTTCCTTTTTCCTAACTGGTAAATAAATAGGGTTCTCTCTTGTTGTAAAAACAAAGTTGGTGGAAACGTGAAACTGCTTATACATTTTCAGGAAAGGGCAGGAAGATAACAGAGATAACTAAATGAATCTGGTGAGTTTCTTTTCAGAAATGTAAAATTCAAAAGCTTTATTACTGTGTTGACGAAATACCTAGCAATTCAGTATTCTATTTCCTTTCATCTTTTTCAAAGATTACTTCACCTGCCTATGACAAGTTACCAAAATGGAAATAATCCAAGTAATATTTCCTGCACCCATATTCAAATTTTGAAATATTCAGTTGTAAAAGAAGTATGGGACTAAGCACTTGGAGAGCTCTGATTATATTGTTTTATTTATTAAAAGTGTTCCATTATTTTTCTTTATGGTATATGATAAAATTTTCTGTTGCCTTTTAAAGAAAATCAAAAATCAAGCAGGAATATTTTCTCTGATTTTTCTCTGTATTTTTAAAACACTAAGTAGTACTTTAAAACAGGGCTTTTCAACCTTTTCACCCATTGTACGACTTTTAGGATATGGCAATATCCGAGTACCACCAGACGCCTAGCAAGATGTCAAAAACTTGATGACCAAAAAAAGAGGAAAAAAGTGATGAAGTACAGGTAGTTCTCGACTTACAACAGTTTGCTTAGTGACTGTTTGAAGTTACAATGGCACTGAAAAAAGTGCCCCCAAGCCACAGCCGAGCAAGACACCTGCCTGCCGACCTGGCGGCACACTTCCTCCTATCTGAGGTTTTCATTGTTGTGAGCATTTCTGTTGAGGATTGGCAAGGGGGGGGGTGTTTGGTTTTTATTCCCCCCGTCTGCTGGGTGGTTGCAGCAGGTTTTGATCAATTCACATGACCCTGGGACACTGTGACCATCATAAATATGAATCAGTTGCCAAGCATCTGAATGTAAATCATAAGATCCTGGAGATACTGCAACGTTCCAGGTGATCGGCACTTCTTCTGGGTTCAGCAGAAGGGCCAGGATCAGCACCGAGCTCCAGCTGGAGCCTGGTGCTGATCCTGGCACTTCCGCTAAGCCCTGACAGTCCCGAAGAAGTGCTAATCCTGGCACTTCCGCTGAGCCCTGACAGCCCTGCAGCTCCAGCCATCTCTTACTCAGGCTTGTGCCATGCTGCCACCAGTTCAGCTCATTCCCCTCTCCCACGACCACTTTTCTAGAATGGTCGCATGCCACCTGCCAGGTGCCAATGTACCACAGGTGGTACCCGTACCACTGGTTGAAAAGCCTTGCTTTAAAATACTAAAATATAATACTACAAATCAATAAAAATAAAATCCTTTATCTAGGAATGTAAAATGTAAAGGCAGAACATAAATTATAGTTTGGAATAGAATGTTTTTTGGGGGGCTGTGTGTGAATTGAAGGCCTTTGGAGATTGCTGGGGCTTTAAGTTACAATTCCTGAGAATGTCTCAAGGGCATCTCATAGACAGAATCTGCTAGAATCTCAATTCCAGCAACTGAGGGGGAAAAAAGTCCTCATTGTGATTATCCCCCCATCAGCTTATTTATTGAAGTGCATGTGTTCATAATTTTTCTAATATATTCAATATCCAACTTCCTAAACCAGTGCAAACAGGTATTCGGGACTCCTAGAACACCCTATCCACCCTGCCTAGAACTCTGTTCTGCAACTGACCATTTCCAGGACTCTCTTGAGCCATTCCCTATGTTCATATAAGACAAACAAATGTTTCTTGGCCATGTCCTTCTGTTCTGTTGCCTAGATTCCTTGCTTTTATCTCATCACCAATTGTACTACTAAGCTCCATCTTTGGTAAAATAGCATTTTCCACCTTATGCTGAAGGTTTGCAAAATCTGCTGTCCTTTCATACTCATTACCTTGGAGGGATCATCATTGGTTTGGGGTGTGTCTGGGAACAGAAGCAGGGTGGGGATTGGCATTAGGGACAGCAAATGCCATGCTAAAATAATTGGATTGATGGAGAGGACTTCAGTTCAGGAATGGGCAAAGGTTTTAGGCAGAGGATAAAGTGAGTCCAGATAATTCCTTGAATTACTCCTAACCACCTTTTGATGCAGAACCAGGTCTTCACATTTGAGGCATAAAGAGGTAACTGTTTTCTCTGTATCCATAACTAGGTCTATGTGATTGTACCCAGTGCTGCTCAGTGTATTGCTTGTGTTTGTAGCCTCCACTTCCGAGATTTTAAAAATTGTGTTTCTGAAGTTAAATCTTTTCGCATAGAGTGCAGTGATCTTAACTGTTAGAAGTCTGCTGGACAATTACCACTGCGCATGCTAGTGTTTGTGTGCAATGTGATGTGCAAACAATATGTTTGTGTTATAAAGAAATCCTATGTATCCTGGGGGGGAGGGGTGCATGACTTAGCGGTTAAAACTAGGTAAAATCAACCAGAACATAGGCAGTTTGACACCCAAGTACAGGGTGAGCTCCCATTCTTAATTCCTGCCAAGATAGCAGTTTGAAAGCATGCAAACGCAAGTAGATAAATAGGTACCACTTCAGTGGCAAAGCAACAGAGTTCCATGTGCCTCAGTGTATAGTCATGCTGGCCACATAACCCCAGAAGCACCTTCAGACAATGCTGGCTCCCTCAGCTAGGAAATGGAGCACCACCCTCTAGAGTTGGACATGACTACACAGGGGAAACTTTTACCTTTTTAATATGTCCTAAGCAAATGCAATACGAGAGAATATCGTTATATAGACTGAAATAAATAACCAGGCTCGGAGAGCACCCAGGGCTCCTCAGCTCAGCCCTGAGCTACAAATATTCTCTTCTACTATATGCTACAGGTAATCCCAACTTACAACCATTTGTTTAGCGACCATTCAAAGTTACAAAGGTAGATAAAAAGTGACTTGTGACCATTTTTCACATCTATGACCCTTGCAGCATCTCCAGGCTCACATGATCAACATTCAGATGCTTGGCAATTGGTTCATGTATTTATCACTGAATTTCCTATCAAGGGTTATTAGAAGAAATTAACAGAACTCTTTAGATGTGCCTCCTAAATTTCAGAATTTGATGGAATGTTTCCTCTTCATCCTCCTGTTACCATGAACATTCCTCACAGTGTGGTTCACCACTTAAATACTCCATACTTAGACAGCAAATTGCGCACGCGTGCACACACATACAGAGAGAGAGAGAGAGAGAGAGAGAGAGAGAGAGAGAGAGAGAGATTATATATAAATTTTCCATGATTGTATCTGAGATCATATAGTTCTTGTAGCCTCTTTTTTGATATAAATAATCTAGTTAGATTGGTTTTGTTTCTCAGCATATTTCCTTGAAGTAATTCCAAAAGCAGAAATTAAAGATCAAGATACAGAGTGGTTTTCTTTTTCAGCCTCAGATATATAAAGGCTTTGCTATTACGGTATACATTCAACAGACAGATTCTACTGCCTTTTCCTCTAAACCAGTGTTTCTCAGCCTTAGCAAATTTAAAATGTCTAGATTTCAATTCCAGATTTCCCCAACCACTGAGAGTTGAGACCCAGACATCTTAAAGTTGCTAAGGCTGAGAAAGACTGCTCTACCCAAAGTTTGTCTTTCCAACCCATTGCCCTTTAGTTTGCTAACTTGGAATGATATAACTTTTAATTTAATATGTTCAATGAACACTAGATTGGAAAAAGTTACCTTATATTAATATTTGGGAGCTGTGAACTAGATGTGCTCACAACTAACCCCATTATCTTCTAAGAACTTATTACAGATAATGCAGTTCAGAGATCACAACTACAACTTCCAAACAAATAACAAGAATAGCATCAATGTTTAGTAGAAAAGGTTATTTGACAAATCAAGTTAGATGAATAGTGCTTGTTCCTTTTTTGTTTTAAATTCATTATTTCACATAGCTACTTTGTTTTGACCTGTCAAGAAAAAATCA